TCCGTACATTACCTCCCCTCTAGCTGTTGGCTCTTGGCCAACAATTAATAACTAGTATCATTTACACTCCTCTTTTTCATAGACAAAGTATACTCAAATACTTGATTTTGTATTTGCATAGTAACTGTGGCAAATATCATTTCCCATGTGTGGCTGAGCAAACTGAGGCCGGGATGATGGCTCCCCTGCTACAGCCTGACAGCAGTGGTAGGCACTGTGCTGGCTTGTCCTCCCTTCCCTGCTTCACCTCTTTCTCAACACTCTTCCATTCTTCTTCCCTTATTAGTTTTCTCTCATAGAGAGCAAGAGGTTTTAGCTGTTACCTTTCACAAGGACTGTTAACCAGGTTTGGCCCTTCAGCACTGGTTTGGAGAAGCATCTTTGACACAGAAAGGGAAAGAGTGAACTTTGAAGTTGTCAGTGTTTATGAGCCACCTACCCTGTCCCCTGTGTTTACCAAGCATCTTTAGAAAATTACAGGGTGCTTCCTGTCAGAAGAACACAGTGGGACTAGAAAGATGGCTCAGTGGTTAAGAACACTGGGTTCACTGGGTTCACTGTGCACTGATGTTCACACACTACAGCCTGATGAACTACAAAATGCCTCACTTCTCCAAAAAGGAGTTTGACACTGCAAACAGGAAAGCCAGGCTCTGCATATTACATGTGACTAAGAGAAAAACATCTTGAAGATCAAAGTACATTCCATAGAACTACAGTGAACATCTGGGTTCAGTTCCCAGCACCCACATGGTGACTCACAACCATCCCTAGCTCCAGTTTCAAGACCTGATCTTCACAGGCATCGCAGGCATGGGTGCACTTATATACAATCAGGTAAATCACTATAACACATGAAAAATAAAAATAATTTTTTAAAAGAACACAGGCTCTACCCACATTCCTGTATGGTATTCCTAATGTCTGTAGGCTTTATACACCCATTTTTGGTGTGGACAAAAGGAGAGTAACTGGCCCCTTTGGCTTCCCAGAGAACTAGGAGCAATTACAAATCACAAGCCAAATCAGTTTTCCAAAATGCTGTTCTGTAGAACACAGTTGATTTGGAATTCCAGACTTCTCGCAGCTTTGCAAGATTGTTGGCTCATACACACAGAAAGTGGTTATGTCTGCTGGGACAATAATAAGGCAGTTAGATGCCAGATCCAGCTCTACATCTCCCCACTAGCTGGGTGGCTCTGAGGAAGTTACATAAATTTCTAAGAGCCAGGAATTTAGAGTGTCGCTTCCAAAATCAATACTCTGATTCTTGGGATTATAATTTACTGCATAGCTTGGTAAAGTTCTTAAAATTGGGCCCATGAGTGGAATCAGACCTGGGTCATTAACTTAGGATGTCCTAGGAAGGACAGGATGTAGGCAGCCTTGCAGAGGCAGTTCACTGGGAGGCTCCATGGAACTTCTAGAAGTGGAAATTGGTACTGAGAGCAGCATGGTGTCACCCAAGGGTCATGACTTAGTACCAGACAGCAGACAGGTAGAAAGAGTAAGACCTGGCACAAGGTCTCTTCCCACGTATGGCAGGGCATTTGAGACCTGGAAGTCTAGGACAGGGATGCCAGTGGAGGAGTGGCAGGAATGAGTCTTAAGTCCAGGCAGCATTCAGGAGCAGGCTACCCATTTTAGGGGTCCAGGGACTGAGGTTCAGGAAGGGAGCAAAATCAGGGAACTAAGCCTTCTCTGAGAAGGGGCCTGGAAGCTGAGACATGTCATATGGGTAGGGAGCGGGGATGTTACTGAACCCCACAGGCTTGGCAGCTGCCCCAAATCTAATCTCTGAAAGGGGTATGGGGTTTCAATAAGAAACATTGTAGCTGGGAAGCCAAGCAACTGTGTGTGGACTCCCTACTCCAGCTCCAGAATAGGGTAGGGTCCAAGACGTCCATGGTTAAGACATGATGCAGAGAGATCTGGGGAAGCCCTGTGGGACTCCCTGCTGCATCCACCCAGAGCTAGGTACCCACTGTCCAAGGCAAGGGAATTGCTCACTGTACTGCCTCATAGCCTTGGGAATGCCTTTAAAACCTAGAACTCTAAAATAATGGATTCCCAAACCTCGGGTTCTCTAGCTATCTCTGAGAATCCTGTGAATATTGTTAAGTTATTGTCTGTTGAAAAGTAAACAAGGTTGCTGCTGGGTATGGTGGCACATGCCTTTAACCCCAGCACTCAGGAGAAAGAGGCACAAGGATCTCTGTGAGTTCGAGGCCAGCCTGGCCTACATAGTGAGTTCCAGCCCAGCTGGGACTACAGGGAAACCCTGGCTCAAAAAGACCCCCTCTCAAAGAAAAAGAAAGAAAGAAAAGTAAACAAGGTTGCTAGTGACAGGAAGGTTTAGAATCAAATCTCTACATCTGTACCCTAAGCCAGGGCTTCTTAAACCTCATGACCCCCTTTGCCTGAGAAATTTTTATTTTACCCATGGAGATTATATATATATATATATATATATCCATGCCAGAACCACAGTGACAGACTGCAAAGGAATTCACCAGTGACCACACTGACATAGAAAGGGAAAATTTAGTGAAAGATACTGCAGAAGACACAGTGTCTAAATTACTAGAGGAGGGATCAGCCACTGAGAGGCAAAGCTTTTACAGTAGTTAAAAGGAAGGTTGTTAGATCCTGTGGGATGGGATATATACCATGTCTAAATGCTTAGGCAGACATCTCATGATTCTGCTGAGGAGTAAGTTTTACAGTGTGGGTTGTCTCACTGTTACAGTCTGCAAAGGCATGTCACAAGGGGTCAAACTCCTGATGATCTGAGCCTGTTCACCAAAGGGTACAATTCTCTAAGAATTAAATCTTTGATACTGCAGGACATACAGCATCTTCAACTTCAGCCTTTTCCAATTTTATAATGCTGAAAATGTCCCTTCACATAAATACATAGTACAAAATAGCAAAAGTATATTTAGAGTCACTTCAGTAATGTTTGGAAATTCTGTCCTAATCCCAAGCCTACTGATCTGATACTTACCTGCTGAGGAATGATGGAAGGAAATACTGAAAGCCTTTGTTTTCCATAATTAAATCCTTACGTTTCTATAAGAACAGAAAACTTTGTACAAACAGTAAAGACACTGCAGTTCATATAATACAGTACAATAGTCTCGAATCTGAGCTGAGGTATTTCAGGCAATTCATTGGCACTGCAGGGTGTGACATGATACACGACACAAAGTACATGTCATGTGTTCAGAACCAGGCTGCAGTGAAGTCACATAATATGACATAGTCAGGTGCTGTGAGAGACATCCCAGCTTCGTTACACATTTGATTTTCAACTAATTTTTGGTCGTTGTCCACTCAGAAAGCTTTTACTTCTGTCAATTTTTCACGACCTCCACATTTGTTATGTAACTGCATATGGGGTTGAGACCCACAGTTTAAGAAACTGGACCATAGCAGCAGCAAGCCTACCCAACATATGCATATGTTAAGATGGCCTTTGTACAAGTAGAAAGTTAGCATTTACCTGTGTGCTTATATTCTGTTCAAATCTTTTGACCCTGCCCAGTGTGCACACTCAAAGGACGTCAATTGAGCTGTAGGATAGATCTGCTTACCCCCTTTATCTAATTTCCATTCCCCCATAAAATTATAGTGAAATCTGCTTTCTCTAATAGAATTTTCCATAGCTACATGGTTGTTTTCTTTTTGCAATCACTGCTCTGTTTTTCATCCTTTCCTATTTTAGCTATTTAGCTGGCCTCTGAGTTACTCTGTTGACTTGATGTTCTATAAAGAAAACTTTTGTAATGAATATGTTTTACTGTCCTAAAGCTGGGAATCAGGGGACAGTGGAAATGCTGAGGGAAAGTCTGACACAGGCCAGACAGTGCTCTCCCAGGGAGATTGTTCATCCCTTGGTGACCATCCTGAGTCTGCTATCCCCAGCTATCCCAGGTGATCAGGGTTTAGGGAGCTTCCCTCATGTACCTAGGGGTCCTCCCCAGATGGAGGTTTGTATCCAGCCTGGTCTCAGGCAGCTGGTCTTATGCAGAAATGGCTTTAGTGCCACCTGTAGAGATCTCAGCATTCCATGGAGGAATGCCCAAGGGTCATGCCTACCTCATTGCTCACTGGGCAGTTTCTGTGTAGATAACCATGCTGAGTCTCCAGTTTCACTTCCTGCTGCTCTCAGGCGCGGGTGAAATTTTCTGTATATTTTCTGGTTAATCACCAGAACTGGAATCTTTCCTACCCAGGCACTGCTCACTTCCTGCCCATACACCAGAATCACTACTCAAAGGCCACAGAATTTTCCCAAATCATTCGTCCTTTGAAGACAGAATCTCAAAGGACATCCTCTTTGCACTTCCACCTTGCTCCATCTGCTTCCCAGCGAAGCATCACCAGCCCATGGGAAGCAGACTGCTTACACCGTTATTCTGGTCTCTCTGACCCTGCAGAACCATCATTAATGCAAGCTTTTAAGTCAGCAGATTCTCACTGTGAATCCTCCAGTGGCACCTGATGCCTGCTGTGCAACACACTTCTCCCACTCCCAGACCATGTGCAAGATACTGCCCCAGATACATGCACCAACTTGTTACCACCACCACCACCCCACCACCACTTCCTCTGTGTCCTCCACTGTTCTTCAGGACCCAACTCAGATGTCAGCTCTTCCCTGGCCCTGTCAGCCTTTATTTGTCACATTCTGTTTCTCAGGGTCTTTTTGGCCCTTCTCCCCTACCTCACCTTTGATGCTGGGGTTTTCTCTGCTCACCTTGGGTGGCCTCAGCATATCTGGTCCCTCTGGATCCACCTCAGCTCCAATTCTAAACCCATTTGGTTGAAGCCAGCTCTCTGGAGCTGTGGAAGTACATTCCAACCACCCTTAGGCAGCTTGGCTCCTGGTCCTTACCTGCTGTGTTTGAGGACCATATCTCTGCATGGGGACAGGGTCTCATTTGTCCCTTCCCTGGAACAGTGTGGTATGTGCTCACCTGACCTATCCCCCTCAGGTACATGCCTACATCATCAGCCACCTGAAGAAGGAAATGCCAAATGTATTTGGAAAGGAAAACAAGAAACGGGAGCTTATCTTCAGGCTACCAGAAATATATGTTCAGCTGCAGCGAGAATACCAGATTTCTGCGGGGGACTTCCCTGAAGTCAAGGCCATGCAGGTACTGGGAGCCCATTACAGTGTCATGAAGGCGATAGGGACTCTAAGAGGCCATGTTGCCCAACTGGTTACAGGGACACATGAAGTTCTCACAGCTTATTAAAGGAAAATGTGATGAAGTCATCTTCCTAATGGTGACCCATGATAGGCTCCTGTGATGAAAGCAGATGTTGCCTGCCTTCCAAAATGTGTTTGGTTTGGTTTGGTTTTGGTTTTTTTCTTTTTTTCTTTTTTTCTTTTTTGGTCTTTTTGAAGCAGGGTCTCCCTGTAGCCCCAGCTGTCTTAGAACTCACTATGTAGACCAGGCTGGCCTTGAACTCACAGAGATCTGCCTGCCTCTGCCTCCCAAGTGCTGGGACTACAGGCGTGCGCCACCACACCCGGCCCAAAATGTTTTTTTGAAAAGGGAACAGTTAGCTAAATATCAGTGAAGCTCACAGGAAAAAGTCAGATGGGCCAGGCTTGATGATGCATGCCTTTAATCCCAGAACTCAGGACCTAGAGGCAGCCAGATCTCTGTGAGATCAAGGCTAGCCAGCCTGCTCTACATAGTGAGCTCTAGGCCAACTGGGACTACAGGGAGACCCTATCTCAAAAAACAGAAACAAAAACAACAACAAAAAAGACAGACAGCCTAACCTCTTAGACCATGGTCCAAGAGCTCTATTGGTCTAGTGCTCTGCACTTAGCTGCACTTTGCCGTGTGCACCAAGGGTTTTGCTGGAAGCCCGGTGTTGGTGACCTCCACTGATTTCAGAGTCTCCCTTGAGCTGTGTCTGGACAGCTTCAGCCAAGCCAGAGTGGAGCTGCATTCAGCTACCTTGACCTGACTAGTGTCCAGTGTCCATTGCACCACAGTGATGTTAGACAAGAATGTCTTCCCAAGCAGGGTCGCCATCTTCTTGTCCAGTATAGCACACATCTACACATCTCTGCAGGGCCAGTCTTCTCTGTAAAGCAGGTGACATGATCTCAGGAGCCTGCAGCCATCAGCTGACATAACTGCATGAAGCAGGTAGGCATGTCTGACTGCCTCTGTCTCCACATGTCAGGTAGAGATGTGGGTTGGGTTCCCAGAGAGAGTCTACAAGGAGGAGGAGGATTCTGCCAGTGCAGAGTGAGAACTTGTCAGGGGATGTTGAACAATATATGACTCACCTACATGGGGGCATCCTGTCTAGCCCAAGGGTCACTACTCAGTGGGAATATGAAAATACATGGTTCATAAGAAACAGAAATCTATATCTATATGTAAATCACCTGACTTTTAAATTTGCTATCAAACTTTCAAAAAAAAAAAATACTGCAAAGGCAGTAACCTGAGTCCAACAGTTACATCTTCTCCAAGCCACCGAGAGTGACATGGCTAAGGTTGGGCCTCTGTTCCCTGCTGGCCTCGGAAAGGAGATGAGGAGGGGTGGGCAGACACAGCAAGGTCAGCTTTAGTAAATAAAACTGACACGGGTGGGGCATACTTTTGGTGACCAGTCCTTACCCCTAGGTCAGGGTGAGTGCTTCTGGTCCATATGATCTGGTCACAGGTTCTAGGTGTAGTTATTGTACAAGACATACAGAGACATATTTTTTTTCTTTCTAGCAATAAAATGAGTATTCTCCTATTCTGAGAAGGAATTGGGTTTCTTCTGGTCATAGATAGGGATTCATGCTAGGAATTGTCTCCCACAGACTTCCTCTTTCACAACTCAGGTTATACCCTGCATCCCAAGGCCCAGCTCCTTGTGTACCCTTCAGAAGGGAACTTCAGTTTAGGAAGGAACTTGGTATCTTTACTTAAATGAAAAAATTGAAGAAATGCACCAGCATGTATCATGGCCTCACAGGGCATCCATGCTCGTTAGCCTAATGAGGTGTCCACATGGCCTATCCATAGGGAGAGACTTCTCATGAGAACGTGAGGCTCCATTGAGCCCCTCTAGGCCTCTTACACAGCCCCCAGGTGGGCTTCCATAACCAAGGAACAGACTCTAGAGCTAGAGCTACTTGGGACACAGTTGGCCTGGGCCTGTCTCGGTCAGAGGATACTCAGGCCTCCCAGGGCTTGGGCAATAGACAGTTCCTAGAAAAGAAGTCAAGGAAATCAGAGTCTCAGGAGCGGCCACAGCCCATTCATCTGGAAGATGGACAAGTCCAAACCTTTGCTGAGAATCCCTATGGTCATAGACCAAACCCATGCCTTAGCAGCTTCACTAAGCACATACATACCCTGGGACAGAACAGGAAGCCCCCTCCAACTAGACAGGTGTGGTATTCGCTTGTGTTCATTTATTCATTCATCTAAGAAATATTAATTAAGCCAACTATGGTCAAGCATGTTTTTAAATACCTGGAATAAATTGATAAAAAGAAATTTAAAATAGGGATAAAAACATTTCTTAGTCTTTACTCCAGTGACTATGACTGGCAGTGAGACGTTTAGCAGCCAAGCCCATTATTGGGATGGCACGCTCCTTGCTGCCACAGGAACGCTGTTAGGCTTCAGTGTAATTAATGATTTCATGTCTATGATTCAGCGTCTCCTTGTAAAACTATAACTCCATGCGTGGCCCATAGTCCATTCAGTGACCCATGTCCTGCTCACTCTGTTTCCTTCCCCCTCATCTAGAGTGTAATAAGCGTTCAGTAAATGCATGCCTAGCATGCTCCCTTCCCTTAACCTGTTGATCTCCCGTCCTCTGTGACAAGCATTCAGTGTGACCCTAACAGAGCATAGGAAGAGGCAAAATCTTGGAGCTAACTGTCCTGGACTTGTCATATGTCAAGGTTGAGGAGGGCTCACAACAGCCAGCTTAGGTCTCTGTTCTCCCTTCTTCTCAACTGGTCAGGGGGATTCGCTGCTGTTATACTGAACCAGATGTGTATTTCAGTTCCCTTAGTGCTAGACTAGGCTCCAAGACCTGCTCATGAGGCTGTCTGTGTCTGCCCTTTACCCTGTTGTGAGAGAATCTGATCTGTGGCACATGGTATCTAATACTCTCACAGGAGAGCACTAGAAGCACTGCCTTGACTGCTGAGATGTCCTGAAAGAATTTGACCCCCTCATTGATGAGTTGGCAGTGTTTCAACAGCAGAGGGCAGCAGAGCCCTCCTTGCCTGCTCTACCCTCCCATACATTTGAAAACAGCTTCTGGTGAACTTTGGGAGTGACTGGGCAAGGTATCCCAGCCTGGGTACTAGACTGGGAACTGGCCCTTGTGCTCAGAAAGGAGTGCTTCCAGAATCCTGGGCTCAGTGGATACAAATTGTGTGATCATCCCACTAAGACTGCCATTTTGGGGCTGCGCTGCTGAGGGGCAACAGTGACAATGGTATAACTTGTCCTCCACACTCCCTGGTCAGGCCCGGAAAGTCGATAGAGACAAGAATGTAGGGTTTATTTCCTATGTGCTCACCAATAGCTGCTGCATCCTGCACTCCTGCAAAATGTGGCCACTGGTCCTGCTCCTTCACACATCTGCCATCAGAATCTGTGTCCTCTGCAGGCTGGTAGACAGTTTGGGCGGACAGCATCCCCACATGTCTGTTTGCCAGACACAGGGACCTTGTGTGCTCAGGGCTCCAACTTGTTCACGAGGGACAGCGTAGGTATTCATACACCCAGGGGCATCCAGACTACTTACCCAGTAGCATTGGAATTTTTGTGTAGGTGGCCTATATCCCTCCTCCTCAGTTGTCCCCTCCACTGACAGGACACTGGCAGCAGGAGCCAAGAGTGCTGGTGACACTGGTGCTGAGGGCGGAGGCAGTATGCTGACTGTAATCTGCCAGTGAGGTTGCAGGACCCGAGAACCAGAATTCATTTTAGAGAGCAGACCTGCCCTGCTCTACTGCTCAGCCAGATGCAGGCTGTGCTAGGTTGTCGCCCAGCACAGCAGATTAGATGGCACAGTGTTGGCTGCCTGCAAGCATGTTGGAAGGCCCAATTCTGAAGACATGAAAGACTGTTCAGCTTTCAGCTCTGGCCCCACAGCAGTCTAAGTGCTGGGCTCCCTTTCCAAATGTGAGCACAGAATTCCTACCCACCACACTCTCTGGGAACTGAGATTTGGGTTTCTCTGTTAGAAACAGCTTCCACAGCCTACTCAAAATGGCCCTGCTAAGCAGTTCAACGTGATGTAGCTATTAAGAAAGAATAAGATTAGCACCAAGCAAGGTGGCACACACTGTTACTACCAGCGTTCAGGAGGCAGGGGCAGGAGGATCACTGGGATCAAGGCTAGCCTGGTCTACATATGGAGTTCCAGGCCAGCTGGGGCTACAGGAAGACCCTGCCTCAATAAAAGAATAAGATTAGCCATGTGTGGTGGTGTTAGGGTTTGAGAATCTAGAATAATTCCCACAAATACCAAGGAGATTGTACAAAAAGTTTATTCAGGAATTTAAAGTAAAAATAACCAGATGGCGGCTAGCCGGGCACAGACTGCACTAGCCAAAGGTGTAGTCTGGCCCCGAACAATAGCAGGCAGGGGCTTTTATCGGGGAGCTCCACAGAAACCCCACACGTGCCAAGCATATTTTAAAATAATCGGATGTCCCCATATCCTAAGTACGGGGAAAGGTTTGATTGGTAGCAGCTGTCTTCAGGGCATTGGAATGTGATGACTGATATCTTTTAGGGCCAGAAGTTTTTGTTCATACCTTATAAAGGCTTTTACATGTCCAGGGCTTGCTTAATCTATAGCTTCCCTGGGGGCGGGGGGTAGCAATTGGAAAAATTTACAATATGCCTGAGCTTGTCGGGGCTTGTCTGAAGAAGCTAGCCAAAACTGAGTTAGTGCATTCTGGCTTTTCATTCCCCCCTAGAGTTATGGCAAGGGTTAAATCTTTAAGCCAAGCAAATTACAGAAGTGGAAAGAAGCAGTTAGATGGTGCATTTAGGGTGGTGGAACTATTTCTATATTGTCGTAAGGCTCAGGGTTTTGGTGTAAATGAGTATACTGTGAAGGCAGTACCATCAGTTGGACTATCTGTATCCGTTCTCGG